GTAACAATGATGGGTCTCATTCTCCTAACCCTGAAAAAAGCCTTGAATATGGCACTTTAAAAAAAAAAATCTCAGGGCTAGGACGAAGAAGACGTTACTGGCACCTGCTCAAGGCAATCGACGAACAACAGGGTGGTCGTGATCGTGATCGTGATAATTGAAACCCAAGCACAAAAAATTGTAAGTCTACAACTGTACCTCATGGTGTTTCACTAATATATATATACATATATATATATAATATACACACACACACACATATATATATATATATGCAAGAAGGCCTGGCTGGCACGAGAGGTGCTGGCAGCATGTACCCCTTAGAAGGACTCACCCAGAGCTGCCCGCGAGCTAAAGCGCTCCCCTGGTGCTCTCCGGGCCATCTGGGAGGCCTGAGAAAGCTGACGTGTGGCTCTCCCACCAGTTCCGCTGCTGTAGGCACAAGCTTGAAGAGCATCCTTCCGGGTGCACAGAGGCACAGGGTTGGGACCTGCCATTCACAGACTCACCAAGCAGAGCGTGTCCAAGGGAGAAAGGTTTTAAAAATTCCTGCTGCATGCCTATTTTCCACCATGAAAACACCTCAGTGTACCCCCCCACTCCACACCCTCCCCTGCCTGTGGGGCAGATGATTTCCACATTACTCTCTCTCTGCTTTGATTACATTCAATATTTCCACACCAGACCCACCATTATTATTTGGGATTTTACCCCAATACTCAGATCTGCCGAAAAGGCACTGGACCGTAGCACTGTCCTCCCGTTGTTCATCGATTTGCTCGAGCGGGCCCTCCGTTGTGAGACTTGTTACTGTGTCTGGCATATCGAATGCGTCATGGTTAGCTTGCCAGGCTTTGCCATGCAGGTGAGACACTCTTGATAGCTTGTCGGGATCTCTGAGAGGGGCGGAGGAATCGAACCTGGGCTGACCGGGTCAACCGCATGCAAGGCAAAGGTCTTGCTGGCTATGCTATCGCCCCATCCCACCAAAAAGGCCACTGTCGACAATTTGTTTTCTATTGCTGGTTATGAATAACATATGATGTCTGTGGCTGCAGTAGTGGCCTCAGGATTTTGGAATTTTAACAATTAAACCTGGAGGGATTTCTGCTAAAAAAAAAAAAAATTCCTGCTGCAGCTCTTTCTGTTAGTACTGAGTGGTTCTGCTTACTCTGCCCCTGAGCTTAAGGTCTGCTCTATCTGCTCAGACCAACCAGAGATCTCGGCCTTATTCTTCTTTCTTCAAAGGCCACCCCTCACTTGAGTGCCCACAAGGCGATGACACAGTGTCCTACCCCTGGCCTGTCTCTCACTTGGCTGAGGTAAGATTAAAGATAGGATGGTGCTGACTGAGAAAATAGCTGCTTTCAACCACATAGAGATAACAGGAAGTGTATCACAATAATGATTCCAGAGTGTCTGTTGAGGTAAACTTCGGCCTTCAGTGGTCCTGTCCGAGTGAGCGCTTTCCACTGTGACTGTTAAGCTGTGCCACCGCTGGTCAGTGCTCAGAGAAATGCCCACAGCAGCCTGATGGGTTTGATCAAGGCTAGGGGCAAAGTTAGCAGCAGATTGTTGGGGAGAGGCGGGGAGACGTGTGGGTCGGACCTGATCATCGGAATGTGCTTTCCTGCCGATAGATAAGGCAGGAGACGGAGCGGCAGCTGCTGCCTTGGAATGGGTTTTCCCTCTTGGAGCCTGACCAGAGTCATGAGGAAGTTTCGGGAATGCTACCTGACTAATAGCAAGGAATCTTGAGTGAACTGGGTTGGGGTCAGCATGTCCCAATGCAGACACCTTCTGTTATACATTAACTGTGTTATGATTGGATGAAAGTGTTTAGCTTTCAAATACCTTTTTGGGCTATTGTGTAAGCTTGTACAGATTTTGATGTGGAATATATGGAAAGTGGGACGTGAAGTTTTACAAGGTAGTCTGATTTATATTATCAGGAATTTTTTTGTGTCATTAGGCTACAAAATAATATGTACTTTAAGATGTTTTGATCTTATGCATTTTGATCTTATGTACTTTGAGGTATGCTCGATGCTTTGATCATTAACCCAAGGGGGCTACGAAAGCCAATCAGTGCCAAATGGCCTGAGTGACCTTTGGCCATCCGTGTTTCAACACTCCACATGCCTTGCTTATCTCTGTGCCCTCGACGCATACTCGAGAACTAACATTTCCCTGTTCGGCCCTGGTTCTTCACTGCTCGATCTCCCCTTTCGATGGATGTGGGTGGCAGCACATTCCCCGGCTCTGCTGCCACGGCACCAAGCGAGGTTCCAGGAGGGGCAGCTCTGGGAATCCCCAACATTTATGAATCCCAACATCGCTGTCACTGTCCTCCCATTGTCCATCCATTTGCTCGAGCAGGCCCAGTAACGTCTGCATTGTGACACTTGTTGTTACTGTGTTTGGCATATGGAATACGCCACGGGTAGCTTGCCCGGATAATCCCAACATAAAGGTAAAGGCCCTCCCGTTGATCGTCGATTTGCTCGAGCGGGCCCAGTAACGTCTCCATTGGAGACTTTGTTGTTACTGTGTCTGGCATATTGAATACTCTCGGTAGCTTGCCGGGCTCTCCGAGAGGGGTGGAGGAATCGAACTCAGGTCGGCCATGTTGGCCGCGTGTAAGGCGAACGCCCTACCCGCTGTGCTATCGCTCCAGCCCCTGTAATAACAATATTGTGTATATGGATATGCTTTTCTAATGTGTATGTTCTCCCACTATGTTCATCTTGTCGAACTCTGACTGATATGGTGCTGACATCATGAGCTGATTTAATAGAAAATAGTGTTGAATTTGGTATGAATAAGCCATAGATAAATAGGGAAGAATGTAGTCAGTGAGAAAAAAACTCATTTAATTGTCTCATTTAACTAAACTATATTTAAGTGTTTAGCATTTTATAAGTCCTGTTTCTGACTTGTTCAATTAACAACAAGTTTGATAACAACTTATCAAAAGAGGTTATATAAAGACTTCTATAAAGAAAACTGTGTATCATTGCTAAAAGAAATAAAGGAAGACACAGGGAAGTGGAGACAGATCCCTGATCGCCTATTGGAAGAATTAGTGTGGTCCAAATGACCCTCCTACTCAAATCACTATACAGACTCAATGCAATCTCCATAAAAACACCCAGAACCCAGCACTCACGCTTCTGGGCATCTATTCCAAGGGCCCATTCTGCTCAAAACACACGTGAACTCCTGTGTTCACTGAAATTCTATTCACCACAGCCAAACTCTGGAAACAACCCAAGAGTCCAAGAGCAGATGCTGGATAAAGAAATTGTGAGACATGTACACGACAGAGTACTGCTTACCTATAAGAAAAGACAAAATCATGCCGTTTGCTGCTACGTGGATGATCTGTAGAGGCTCATGTTCAGTGAAAACAGTCAGATGAGACAGATACAAAAGGATCTCTTTCTTTTTTTTTTTACATGTATGCATTTTATTTTTTCAACTTTGTCATATTTGATTTAAATCTCCTCTTTTTAAAAAAACAACAAAGTAAAATTCCCTATATTTAAACATTTAAAGTAAGTTATAAGGAATAAATCCTAACGTCTTCATGGGATGAAAATAATCTTGCTGAATAATTAAACACTTAGAAGTCACTAGCAATTCAGATGATACCGAAAAGAAAAAATTCTAAATCAAATCCCATATCTATTGTTATTTATTTATTTATTTTTCCCTTTATTTTATTTTATTTTTTTTAAAGTTGTAGATTTACAATTTTTTGTGCTTTGGTTTCAATTATACAATGATCAGATACCCATCCCTCCACCAGTGCCCATTTTCCACCACCATGGATAATATCCCTCCCACCCCCATCCCCCCATCCCCCCTGTCTCTGTGGCAGGGCAATCCCCTGTGTTCTCTCTCTCCTTTTGGGTGTTGTGGTCTGCAAAAGAGGCATTGAGTGGCAAACATGTTCAGTCCATAGTCTACTTTCGACATGCATCTCCCCTCCTGGGAGGATCCTCCAAACATCCTTTATTTGGTGCTCCCTTCTCTATCTGAACTGCCCTTTCCTCTAGGATACCCGGCTGGCCTCTAAGTTATGGAGTAATCCAAGGATCTCTTTCTTGTGTGGAATATAAAGACCCAGAGTAAGGCACTAACAAATGTCCCAGAGCACCGGACTCTAAATGCTCGTCTCCAGAATGGAGCTTACCTGGGCAGTGAGATGCGAAGTGAGTGGGGATGGCCTAGCAGGGGAGAGGGCAAGAGATGGGAAATGGGCACTGCAGTGGTGGGGCTGGTGTTGGGAGGCTGTCCGCATAAAACCCTCTCAGGGACATGCTGTCAAACTGTAAATCGTGGTGGCCTGTAGGATAACACTGTTCTGTCCTTCCTGCATAACCTCAGGAATAGTTGATAGTTTATTGGACTGAGGAAAAGAGAAAAACACCTTAAGAGGTATTTGGCCCTTGGGCAGTCAGGAAGGGCTTTCTTATGTTGATTTGGCACCTGACTGGGGGAGTGTCAGCCCAGACTAGAAGGGAGCTGGAGAATGAGGGGGCAGGGCTGAAAGATGGACCAGGGAGAGACTAGCAAGGGGAACGTGTGCTTGAGAGAACCTAGGCCCTCCATAACATAAATTTCTTCTATGGGATAAACTTCCTTGTAATAAACTGCTACAAAGATCAACCGACCTGGCCCTCATCTCTTCCTTCGTCTGCCCTTGGCCAACAGCTGTCCCGATCCAGGCCACACACAGCGGCTCTAGGGCACTGAAGGCGGGCGGTGAGATAGAGCTGTCCAGAGAGCCCGGGAACACACAACCTTCTGTGTGCATAGTTTTTTACAGGGGCCAAAATAAAATTTGTTAAAAATGGAGTCCACATATCCAGTAATGAAGATTTATTTTTCTCTACAGACATAATTGCTATGACCTAGTGCGGGGGGTCCCGCGGAGTCACCTTCCCGTCCTGCAGGGAGGGTTCTGGGTTCCGTACGTGCAAGAAGGGATCAACCGAATGAACACGCAGACGCAAGAAGAGACAAGAAGCCAAGAGAGAGGATAGGACAGGACAGGCAGACCGACAGACAGGACAGGACAGGACAGACAGGATAGCCAGCTTCCCACAACCTAGCAACCAGAAGGCGACCTAAAGTAGGGCCCTGGGGTTGGGGTTGGCGCTGCAAGACTTACACAGCGATGCTGAGCACGCACTGTCAAGCAGCTTATGCATCTCCAGGGAGACCCTGCAAGTGAAGGACCAAGCGACTCACCAACCTTTCTCTTCAGGGAAGTGGCCCCAACCAAGAAAAGTTTTGTGTCAGCTCAGGGATTTTCTTCACAGGTCATATTTAAAGACAACAAGAATCTGTGATTCGATCGCATGCACCTAATCTTTGGTGTCATACAGACGCTCACAGGCCTTGGTCGGGGGATCCTCAGGATGAGCCTTGGCCCGTGGTCCCAGTGTGTGGTACCAACTCCAGCCCATCAACAAGTGTTGCCCAAGCTCGGGAGCATTTGTTCAAGTTACGCGGGTAGTGGAAGCGTGTTATTTTCCTCGTGTAACTCTTCTCAAGGGGAACATTTTGCAAGGGCAGCTGATTTGCAAAACTTAATTGCAACACTCGCTTAAAATAAAGTGGCTCACATGTCTCCTTAGTCAAGTCATCCTTGGATTCTTTCTAAATCCACTGCAAACTTGTATCCCAAAGAATATGAGGTCGGGTGAGCACTGGCTGACCCTGGAGACAGAGGCACCCCGGAACACTGTCCCGATGCAAGGGCCAAGGCTGGCTTTTCCTGACACACCGTCTGGGCCATTCAGCTGTATCCTCCCTCAGTCAGCCACGGTGCTGGGACTGCCCACGTCCCCACCCCTCCCCCTCCCCCAGGCAGCGCACGGAGCAACCACTCAGGCCTTGTGGCCTAAACATCTGACTCTTAATATTAGCCAAACGTATAACTCAATGGAATCAACATTCTTGTCTTTGGAAAAAGCTGTGTTAATAAATAATTAAACACAATGAGTTTCTTAGACTTCATGACCTTACCCTTTTATTTGATTGCTTCGATAAAAAGAAGAAAAAGGTCACAAGATCTGTGGTGTGTATCCAGATGTAGCCTGTGAGGAAAGTCACCTGGTAACCCAGGTCTGGCCAGGGAGGTTCGAAGATCACCCAATTGTGGCAGAAGCATCATGAACTAGAAGACTCTCAAGTAGATCTCAAAATGCTTATTTGCTTGCTCAGGGCAGAAACGGACTTAGGAGTAGCTGTGGAGGTGACTCAAGGCCTGGGGTGTCTATTTGGATTCACCTAAAACCCACTTGGTTATGACCCCTCCTGGGTGTTTAATCTTATCACTGGTGCTGCACTTGAAATGCCCCCCAGCACTTGTCTGAATAACGTCTTAATGAGCGTTTATTGTTAAGTGTCACTCCTCGGGCTCAGCATGCCAGGCAGAGCTTGGGTGAGGGTGACCTCGCCTTGGTAACCGATGTCCAGTCACTCGGGCATGTGAGTTAGTGGGACGCACTCCACTGGCCTTCTCTCCTCCTGTGGTAAAGGAGGTTTCTAGCCTTCCAGTGATGGAACAGCCCATAGACCCCAGAGCCCAGCTATCAGAGGCCGTGGGCAAGAATGGCCACATGCATAGGAATACGGCGGCCTCTCAGTGACCCTCTTGCCTGGGGTGAGGACGAGAATTTTTGTGTCTCCTCTCCTACTCGTCCCCATGTGCGCTCCTGACAGTGCAAGAGAGGGGTGTCCAGTCAGGGGTCAGCTCTCCGGGGGCAGCTGAATGTCGGGGTCCACAGTGAGCTGCTCATTCCCCATGAGAGAAGGCAGCCAAGACTCTGCTCTAAGCACCTTTTTAGTGTCGTACAAACTTTTTGAAAGAGAAGATTGAAGATCTTATGGTCATGGGAATCCTGCGTGCACCACAGCCAAGGGGTCTCATGAAACCCTCGTCCCTGAGCACCAGGGAGCCACGTGGAAGCTAGAGAGAACAGGATTGTCTGTTTGGGTGGACTGGGAAACATCTGCGTGCAGAAAGGGAGGGCGGAAGAGGAAGGGGAAGAGGAAGAAGATGAGCAACTCTGACAGCCACAGGCCCAAGGAGGAGAGAAATTAATTTCTATCATATGGATCTTTGATAAGACTCCTAAAAATATTAGTTTGGGGGAGATGACTCTCGGGCAGGGCACTTGATTTGCAAGGAGGAGGCCTGTGTTCCACCCAGCACTGCATAGTATGGGAGTAACCCCTGAGCACTGCTGCATAAGCCCCTCAAACAAGGAATAAGGATAATTATCCTGATGTCTTTTACCAGTGGATAGAGTATGGCCAAGAATACAAGCATAATTGGGCTGGAGCAATAGCACAGTGGTAGGGCGATTGCCTTGCACACAGCCAGCTCGGCCGAGCCGGGTTCGATTCCTCCACCCCTCTTGGAGATCCCGGCAAGCTACAGAGAGTATCTTGCCAACACGGCAAAGCCTGGCAAGCTCCCCATGACGTATTCAATATGCCAAACACAGTAACAACAAGTCTGAAAATGGAGACGTTACTGGGCCCACTCAAGCAAATCGATGAACAATGGGAGGACAGTGACAGTGAGTGACAAGCATAATTAATTACATACTAACAAATTAATCACAGGGTAAGAAGAAATAAGAACCCATTAACCAATGACAGTGTCTATTGCATGTATTTATTTATTTATTTATTTCTAGAAGGAACTCTGAGGGTCCCAAGAAATAGTTTGAAGTGTGAGTGCACACTTGCATCTGAAGGCCCTTAGTTCAGCCCCCAGCACCACATACTCCCCTCTAGGCCCCCCTGACCAGACCACTAGGCCATGAGGTTGGTTCTGCCTTTCGACGTAGGACTAGGCATGGCCCCAGGCCCCCAGACACACTGTGGGAGAGAAGCTACACCAGAAGGTGGAATATCAGGAGTCAGGCTCTCCCCGGAGCCTGGGGGGACAGAGCCTGAGCACCTGCTTGCAGGCCCAAGCTTCCCAGGAGGGCCTGAGCTCTTGGTGGAGGGAGAAGGCAGGCAGACACTGTGGGTAGGTGCTGGGCTGGAACAGTGGGTGTGTGGAACCCACCCGTGAGCAGAAACATCCCTACAGTGCCTCCAGTAAAGACATGTCCAAAGGCAATGAGAACCAGGGCTTCCCAGAGAGCCAAAGCTGACTGGAGAGACCGTCCCGGAACTGGCTGTGTGCAGGAGGTGACTCCCCACTTCCGCCCAGCACAAACACAGCCGCTGCTTCACTGGGAATAGACTCTGGGGAACGCAGATGTTCAGACATCGGAACATGCCTCTCTGTCGGCAAAGATAAATTCCCAGGCAGAGGCGATGCCAATTTTAACCAGAAGAGATTCGCAAATAATGCTGAATGAAGTTCTCGATTAAACCCATCACACAAACCTGTGAAGGTCCCACCGGGCAGGGCCCCGTTGCAGGAGTCCCAGCTACACCTGAAGAAACAGCTTGCCACATGCCCTCAGTAAACCGTCTTGGCTGCAAAGTCGAATTAAGGCAGATTCTCATTTCAGAGTGAGAAAATGCAGGACCCAAGTGAATCATTAACCTTCTGTCCAAAGTAGAGCCCCCAGCCTCAGTGCATTTTCACATTAAGGGAAAATGAGTCACAGGAGACTCTGAGTCACATGGGACTGAGTCACATGGGTCTGAGTCACATGGGACGAGCCACTGCCTTCTGAGATCTCCGGGACAGTGGGAAACTATTCCATGTCTCCCAGCAGAATCGTGTGGCTGTGCTGAGCATTGTTCTGGGTCCATAAATTCCCCGTGAACAAACCAACCACTGCAGGCAAATATGTCTGAGGTCCCGAATGCATTGCTAGTTGTTGGTGCTTCTTTTTCAACTGTTTGGTAAGGGAGAAATTGGGTGTGGAGCATCTACTGGACCTGAGAGACAGTGATGAAAGGCAGGTCCCTCCTCCCCCGAGGCAGCCATTGCTCTTAGAGCATTCAGAGATAACTGACTGAAAACACAATGATTGAAGAAATTGTCTCTGCTGCTGGGACTTTGCAAAACCAACCCCCAGTCCAGCAGTAGGGCGTTTGCCTTGCACGCAGCCAGCCCGGCAGAGCCGAGTTCGATTTCTCTGCCCTTCTCGGAGAGCCCAGCAAGCTACCGAGGGTCTCTCGCCTGCACGACAAAGCCTGGCATGGTACCCGTGATGTATTCAATACGCCAAACACAGTAACAACAAGTGTCATGATAGAGATGTTACTGGGCTCGCTCAAGCTAATCGATGAATAACGGGAAGACAGGACAGAACAGTCCCTAGTGAATTCATCAAACTCCAGTGGTCAATGAAACCGGGCTCCTTCCGTCAGCATCTGTGTGTCTTTCTCATTTTGCACTGGGATGGTTTATGATATGTCTGAATTCCAACCTATTTGAAATAAAGCAGACCCATTACTTGAACACCTATATTAAGCACTCACCATTTGGGGGCATTCGGGTACAATCATGTGATGTGGAACATCCCCTTGCTTTCGAGAATCTCAGTCTCTGCAGGAGATCTTACTCCTTTTTTTTCATACTTCTTGCACTGAGCAGGATGATATCAATGTTCTAAGAATTCTGATTCTCTGGATAAAAGCTGTGGCTTGTTTCATTGCTTGAAGAGAGGACATGCTTCTACTCACATCATTCAGAGATCAAACCAAGAGGTACATCAGTAAGTGACCAAGCGACAATTGGACACAACTGAATATATCTGGTGAAGGAGAGAGCAATTTTCTCAGTAGATGTTTGCTGGCTTGGCGCATAGACAATATCTATTAGGCTGCAAACTTTCAACGAAATCAATCCTTCATCCATTTATCGATCAGAATTGATTCCGTTTTCTGACCGAATAAAGGATGGATTATAACAGCACTGCTCAACCCACACACGTGATCACCCACATGTGATCTCAAGGAAGAAACTTAATCTGTTTGAGTTTATTTTCTCATTTGTTGTAACAGTGAAAATCTTTCCCTGCCCACCTTACAATGTTTCTATTATAAACAAATAGGATATGGAATATTTAAACAGCAAAGTTAAAAATATAAAGGCAATATGTTTCAATATATTATGTATACACTGAAACTCACATGCCACCATCTGTAAGACTACCACTGAAAATAGAACGTGATGGAAAATAGAACTTGCGAATTTTGCTTCCCTTTTCTGCTATAAATTCCATTTTGCTTGAGCATTAGGGAGCTCAAATAAAAATACTGTGCTTCTGGGTAAGTCTGAGATATGGTACAATTCAAAGTTGGAATTTATCTCTTAAGGAAATTTATCTCTTAAGGAAAGTTTGTTTGGGTCTCCATGACCTGCAATGGCCACTATTACCCATATGTGGATATTTATATTTAAACTGTATCACTGTATCACTGTCATCCAGTTATTCATCGATTTGCTCGAGCGGGCACCAGGAATGTCTGCGTTCATCCTAGCCCTGAGATTTTAGCAGCCTCTCCTTACTTGCCCTCTGCAATGGTGCCCCATTGGAGGGTCTTTCATGGTCCGGGGAATGAGACATTATTGTTACTGCTTTTGGCATATCGAATCCGCCATGGGAGCTTGCCAGGCTCTGCCGTGCAGGCAGGATACTATCGAGAGTATCCTGGAGAATATAGTGACATTAATTAATTTTGTTTTCTGGTCAGAAAGGGTACCAGAAAGTTAATGCAGAGCACACTCAGTTAAGCTGTCTGGGGTTTGACAGGAGACCAGCACACTCAGTGGAACTATCGGGGGTATCTCAAAATAGGAGAAACCTAAATCCAACACCAAAAACAAGGGAAGCCAGAAAACAAAAGGACAAGAAAAAACTCAAACTCGGGGAGGCAGAGACAGAAATCCACAAGGGTGAAGACAGTGAGGGCCAAAGAGGCAGCCTTGGGGGTTGGGGGGGGCGGGGATTAATTTGGATTAAACTAATCCAAATCAAATTTTATTTTTAAAAATCTCTCTGTCACCACCCACAATTACAAGGTGAGAAAAATTAGATTTTTTAAAATATAATTCATTATTTGGATTCTATCTGAACTCACAGCGCAAATGGAATATGAAAAATTGAGTTATTTGGGGGGATGAACTGTGCCACTGTTCTCAAGTGTAGTCTTTAACACGCCAGGAAATATACCCCTTAACTAACTTAATTGAATGCTTCCTCTAACCAAATATCATAAATCCACAGCACGTTTCTTAATGTGTTTTGACCGTGGACCCCTGCTCAGCTGATTCCAACCCCTGTTTCCTACTGATCGTTCACCTAGTTTCATTCGTGCTCCCAAATTTTCACCTGTGGCCTTCTTGGAGTATTCTGGAAGCCCACGGGAGATCACGTGCCCCCCTCCCCATTGAGAAATGTTCATGTACAGTGGCATTAAAAGCCAGGCTATAATGGACCTTCCTCATTATGGCAACATTACTTGGAAATGATCACTCCGGACAAGAGCTGAGTGTTGAAAGTAGATAAGGGATATACATGATAACCTTTCAGCATCTGTATTGCAAACCATTAATTCGAATTAATGAGAGAAAGAAAGAGAAAGGGAGAGAGAGAAGAGAGGTGCCTGCCACAAAGGCAGGCTGGACTGGGGATGGTTTGGCGGTTGGAGGGAAACTCGGGGCGCTGGTGCTAGGAAGTTACACTGGGGGAGGGATGGGTGGTGGAGCATTGTTGGACTGAAAGCTAATTACGAACAGCTCTGTAATGCTCTATCTCATGGTGATTCAGTAGAATAAAAAAATAATCACTGTCACTGTCATCCTGTTAATCCTCGGTTACTCGAGTGGGCACCAGTAGCATCTCCATTCGTCCCAGCCCTGAGATCTTGGCATCGTAAACTTTATGCTCTCTCCCCAAGGATGCGGCACGCCAGCTGGATGTCCTTGGGCATAATGGTGACGTGCTTGGCGTGGATGGCACAGAGGTTGGTGTCCTCGAAGAGCCCCACCAGGTAGGCCTCGCACGCCTCCTGCAGCGCCATGACGGCCGAGTGCTGGGAGCGCAGGTCGGTCTTGAAGTCCTGCACAATCTCTTGTCGCACCAGCCACTGGAACGGCAGCTGGCGCGATGGCAGCTGGTGGATCTCGCGTGGCGACAGTGTCAGGCCGGTAGCGGTGTGGTGCGGCTTCTTCATGCCACCAGTGGCTGGCGGGCTCTTGCAGGTCACCTTGGTGGCCAGCTGCTTGCGGGGCGCCTTCCCGCCCGTTGACTTGGGCGCCGTCTGCTTAGAACGAGCCCTCTCGGTCTTCCCAGCTCAGCTGGAGACTCCTTCAGGGGTAGGGAAACGAGACCCATTTTAGCTACTGTTGTTGGCATATTTGGTATGTCACGGGTGGCTTGCCAGGCTCTGCTGTGCGGGCTGGATACCCTCGGTAGTTTTCCAGGCTCTCCAGGTGGGAGATGGAGGCTTTGGGGGCGATCTCTAATCGTCCCTGTAGGTGTTCTCAGTCTACCAAATGTAAGTTCCTGGTGACCGGACTGCTGTAACAATTTTTATACACTGACAACACGCACCTGCCTGCGTCTCCAGGCAGTGCCTGGGGCATCTGCGGCCTCAGGTTGATCTCCTTGAGATGGAAGGAGTGCGCCCGGAGGTCATTGAATAGCTGGCAGAGGGCCTGTGCCCATCGCATAGGGTCTGTGCCAGGTTGAACACCTGTGTCGAGTCCCAAGTCACTCGGTGGTTGGGCCTGAAGTGGACAAGTCACCACGGGGGTCACTGTCAATGCCCCATGCTCAATGGTGCCGTGCCTTGGCACAGCTGGGGGAGGTGGCGATGCTGCAGCCGCCGTGGTCTTTCCTCGCCCCAAAAAATTAATATTAAAAAAAAATCCAGATTGTGGCCCAAAGGAGCCAGTGCAATGGAAGACATTCATCTCTCCCCTTGCTTGCTCATGCCTCAGGAGCTCTTTAATATACACCAACATTGGGTGATTAGCAGCCTTTTTAAGCTCATTTAAGCTTTTTTTTTTAATTGAATCACCATGACATACACAGTTCCAAAGTTGTTCACGATTGGGTTTCAGTCGGACAACGTTCCAATATCCAACCCATCACAGCTGTGTTTCCCACCGCCAGTGTCTCTGGTTTCCCTCAAGAGGAGGACCTCAGATGAAGTCCACTCAGTCCAGAAGTCATTGTATTATACTCGTTCACAATCATATTCGTGTATTTCTCCATATTTCTTGTTGTTCGTTATTAAGCATTTGCCATCTTTATTTTTTCATGTAGAGTTTGAGAGAGATGATTCTACATATCAAAATATTCTGCATGCGAGAAGAGCGTTTTCTGGTGGCGTCGCTGGTTTCTTTCTCATCGTTGATGACAGTGAGCCCTTTGCTGCCTCAGGGGGCCTGAGTAACTGCAGAAAGTTGCAAATCTGTGGCCTTTAGGAAGTGAAGCACAATCGCATGAGCTTCCATCTGACTCTCTCATACTCCAACGGAAACACGTCTGGTCTTCGAGTCGCCTATCCATTCGTTGGTTTACGAGTCCCCACATCTGTTCATGGAAGGTAGTGGACACCGATTCCCTCCTTTGCTGTGGCCCTGAGCAGTGAGGACCCTCAGAGAAGCTCCTTCCTCCTCCTCACGGCAGCACTTTCATGATTCCCGATGCTGCCCTGTACATTACGGCAACATCACTTGGGAATGATCACTTCTACCCCTCCACTTGCCCAGACTTATCTTCTATGTGCTTCCTCCATCATCTCTTCCTGTCCAGATCTTTTTGTTTGAGGAGTTTCCTGTTAATAGAAATTTGGGATCAGAGCTTCACCCAGGGGGCTGCCAAGACAAAGTGGAGCCCTGAGTTCCTACTGACCTAAACTTGATTCGGAACAGGAAGCAAGCGCAGCCGCCCCATCTCCTTTCCTGCCCTCCGAGAACGTGCCAGGGACGCTATTAACATGAACCAGATGCTTGGCGATCTCTGCTTCTGCCTGCTGACATCAGAAGGACTCCATGTGGCAGGATGAGGGGGAATCTCGGGCAGCTCGTTTTGTGCTGGCATCGGGCAGTGCCACTAAAACGCCAGCGAACGCCTCTGAGTGTCACTGTGACCTGAGGGTTCTCCTAGAAGGCAGCAGAGGGAAAGAGCACGGGAAGCTCCGTGGAAAGGAAACAAGCCTTTGAGCCTGTCTGCTGAGGAGTGTCACTCGGAGCAAGAGTCAGACAGAAAGGTGACACTGGCGAACTGCACTCAGGAACGCGGGGACATGGGGAGGACCAGGCACGGGGCGCAGGGGTTGGCACTCAGGTCCTTGCCCCGTGGGCCCCACCCCCCACATGAGCTTTTCTGGGAGTGAGAGGTCCCAGGGCATGTTCAGCACTGCTGGAGAAGTTCTGCCCTCTCGTCCCCCCAAAAAGAAGGAAATGTCACCATTTGGGTCATTCGGACACGTTAGGATTATTTCAACATACACAAACATTGGGCAATTAGCAACCAGCCAGCACAATTAACTTTTTTTTAATTGAATCTCCACGACATAACACAGTTACAAGGTTGTTCATGGTTGGGTTTCAGTCAGTCACTGTTCCAATATCCATCCCTTCACAGTGCGCATCTCCCACCCACCCGCTTCCCTCCCACCACCCTCGCCCCCTCCCCTCTTCCCACCCCAGTCTGCCTCTGTGGCAGGCACTTCTCTCTCTCTCTCTCTCCCTCTCTCCCTCTCTCTCTCCCTCTCTCTATTCTTTTCCCTTTCTCTCCCTCTCCCTCTCTTTCTCTCTCTCCTTCTCTCTCTCTCCTCTCTCTCCTCCTCTCCCTCTCTCTCCTTCTCTCTCTCCCTTCTCTCTCTCCCTCTCCCTCTCTCTTTCCCTCTCTCTATTCTTTTCCCTTTCTCTCCCTCTCCCTCTTTCTCTCTCTCCTTCTCTCTCTCCCTCTCCCTCTCTTTTTCTCTCTCTCTCCTCCTCTCTCTCCTCTCTCTCCTCCTCTCCCTCTCTCTCCTTCTCTCTCTCTCCCTTCTCTCTCTCCCTCTCTCTCTCTCTCCTTCTCTCTCTTTCCCCTCTCTCTCTCCCTCTCTATCTCTCACACCTTCCGAGCATTATGGTTTGCAGTACAGATACTGAAAGGCTATTGTGTATATCCCTTCCCTCCTTTCTGCACTCAGTTCCTGTCCAGAGTGATTGTTCCCAACTATCGTTGTCACAGTGCTCTGCCCTAACTCCCCCCCGCCCCACTCCTTCCCTTGTGGCAAGCTTCCAATTAATTTACATAAATCTGTAAGAGTGTCACTTAACACAACCAATGTGTGAAGCAAGCCTGTGTCTCTGTTGACTTGATTTTGGCCCAGTCTGCTCAGGGGGCCTGTTCGTGGCCGGGCAGAGGGGCCTGTGCCATGCTGGGGAGTCAGTCAAAGAAAAGTTTTAAAATTGTTCAGGTCAGGGGATTCAAACAGTGGAGAAACAAATAGTTTAGCTCCACAGCAAATAGGACCATCAAATGCAATTAATTGAAATAGCCTTCATTAGATCTGCAACAAACATGCTAATAATCTGAGTAAACAGTAGTGCTCATTCACGGCCCGTGTGGGTCTAAATCCGTCCACCAACTCAGAGAGCAACTTTATAATTGAAAGTAAATTGAATTATTCACAGTAGTGAACATTTCTCATCAATCTTAACATTCATTAAGAATGAGAAAAAAATATGTACTGTGATGTGCTCTCATCATGCAATTAAACATGCTGCCATCATTAAAACTGAACAGTCAGAGAGACACGGGGCAGGGCGGCGGGTCACACCCAGCGGTGCTCAGGGCACACACCTGGATCTTCACCCAAGGGCCACCCCTGGCAGTGTTCCGGGGACCAGATTGGGTCTCGGTCAGCTGTGTGCAAGACAAACACTATCTTTCCTTGGACTGGCGAGCTGGTTCTCAAGTACATGGTTTGATGCCACTGACTCCCAAGGACAGTGTTAAGTCAAAGTCTGCAATGAAACCTAAATAAAAACTATTTGCAAACTAATTTATCATTGAGGGAAGCGTCCAAGCCAGTGGGGGTGAGATTATTTTAGGAGAAAGGCCAGTGATTCCTGTTCAAAGACTATTTGAAGAAACTTTCATGTGGAACTGGATTTCTTTGTCATCCTCAAAATTACAGGCAGAACACTCTACTGAAGTTTCTTGGGTGTAGGTGTCTGTATGTCTAAGTATTTTTAATACTTGCATGGACTTTAGATTCCACTTTATTTGCATATGCTTGGATAGTTTTTATACTATAGCATCATCAGCCAGTAACTATGTGAATCTACAGAATTAGATTGTGAGGACTAAGTGGAACTTTGCTGACCGAAGAGACGTTTGGAGCGTTAGCACAGCGGGTAGGGCATTCGCCTTACAAGCGGCCAACATGGCCGACCCGAGTTCGATTCCTCCGCCCCTCTCGGAGAGCCCGGCAAGCTACGGAGAGTATTCCATATGCCAGACACAGTAACAACAAAGTCTCCAATGGAGACGTTACTGGGCCCGCTCGAGCAAATCGACGATCAACGGGAGGGCCTTTACCTTACAATTTCTGCAGTGGGAAAGGTTCATAATTTACTTTTGTACGTAAAAATTTCCAAGTGGCCGTCCCTGCCTGCAGGCAGCTCTCGCAGAGGCCGGGCCTGCGAGGGGTTTCCAGGACCAGACTTAGCTGCCGGCTCTCCTCCACTACCTTCCCACAGGCCCTGCGGTGCCGTCCTGAAGGGAGACTCCCACACTTGGAACTCGGGGGAGGCCAGCCTCCAGGCAAGTGGGGGGCCGCTCTGGCTCCTGGGGCCCAGCACTGTTCTGTGGCTTCTCTGCAGAACCCGCCACACTGATAGTTACTGGGGGTGGGAAGGGGGGACATTGGGCCACACTGTGGCTCACTGCAATGACCTGGGGGCTTGGTGCACCAGGCAGTGCCAGGGGCTGTGCAGCGCTGCCCCCACTCCCTCCTTGGGACCCCTGCACAGTGCTGGGGGCCTTCAGGACAGCACCTGGCCGTGCTCAGGGGACCATGCGGTTCCAAGGAGCAAAGTGATGGTGTCTGGACCTCTGTATTCTCTCTGGGCCTGGCCATAGTTTCTAAGTCCCAAACTGAGATTCTCACACTGGAGATTGGGGGTCTCCTGACACCCACCCCTTCCAACCTGCCCAATCTCTCTGTCTCTGTCTCTCTCAAATACAGGCTGATGGGACAGAGGAAGTGGCCAACTGCCAGCGTCCACACGCCCATTAAAATAGCAGATGCCCAAGCTGGTCCCAGCACTGAGCAGATAAGACTGCTCCCAGGACAGTGCTCAACTCAGGGCTCATGTACAGGCCTCCTTACATGGCAGAAGATGTGGTGGGGTGCCTTGGCACGGGCAGCCCTGTGCTGCTACACAGTCCACTGCCTCGGCACGCCCAGCCTGTGCTTCCACACTGCCCACTGCCTCGGCACGGCCGACCCTGTGCGACGCTGCCCACTGCCATGGGCAAGACAGAGTTCAGGCTTCCAGCGAGGAGTGAGAAATGTGGAAAGTGCTGGACCGGAGGTGTCTGTGCAAGACGCCCCAGGCTGACTCCCCGCCCGTGTCCCAGCTCAGGTCTTCGTGGCAGTGGTGACTCGCGGCCCTAGAGCATGTGTCCAAGCGGTCACACGCAAGCTTCCTCCACGCGCGTG